AAAGAAAATAGTCCAGGAGACAGTGTAAAGAGGAGAGAAAAGAAAAAAATAATAGTTGGCTGTATAGGAATGGCATATTCTCTCTAAATGATGGGTTCATTTGGTTTTCTTCATCTCAGAAAGAAGATACTGAAAAGTGTCACAAAGGTAGCATAGGTAAAAATCACTAATGAGATTTCATTGGAGGAAAGAAGTCTAAAAGATGAGGAGATCCATATTTGGGAAGGAAAGAATAGTGCAACAAACATATGAGAAAGTAAGAGAGTAGATGGTAAAAAGGAAAGCAGACCTTTTCTATTTAATACAAGAATGAAAACATGCTCTGGAAGTCAAAAACATTAAAAAAGGCAACTTTTGGTTGGTGGGTGTGATGACTGCTTTCTGTTCAGCTAGACCGTGAAAAGCAGCCAAGCTTCTCAGGAATCAGCTACTTGAGACAAAAGATGCATGGCCCAATCACAGGCTCAGAACAAAATATGAGACAATATTGACCTTGTGACCAGTATGGCTTTGGGAAGGCAGAGTACAATAAAATGAAACAACAAAGCAGAAAGGAGAGCTATTCAGGTTTGCTGCTAACCAAAAGAGTAGCCTCCATGTGTTTGATTCCTCTTACTCTCAGAGAAATAAGAGTTTGGACATTCTTTGTGGACAAACAGGATTACATCAAGGAAACAGCTGATTATTCAATAGTTTTTTCCTCTCGATGACACCACCACCACCTTAGGACCCTCAATTACTGCTCACTGCTTGTGTCAAGAAAGGGTAGTCATATTTAGTGTAGTGGATAATTAATCTATGGAACTCATAGCAAAGGATCTTAGTGAGATAAATAATTTTGTAAAATTCTAAGAGCTTTAGACAGTTAGTGAAGATAGACTTCTGCTGTTACATTTTCTGCCCCGGTAATTACAAGGACTATTAGTTCTCTCATCTTGGGAATGCTTAAGTGAAAAGATTAGGAAGTTGTTTACATTTATGGTACCTTTATGTAGTTGAGATGACTGTGAGCTTTCTTCTGAAGGGTATAACATTTTTGGCAAAATGCTGAATTGGATGTGCAACTGTTTTGTTTTTATTTTACACCTGCTTTATTTGCAGTAGATTTGGGCAAAATGATTAAGATGTTTGTCAACTAATAGGAAGAGTTCAGGTGGAAAAGAAATGGGAGCTGGATGTGCGGGATTGCACCTAACAAAATTTATCTCTAATCCAAGGAAATTATTTTCTAGAATTTTCCAAAATTCACCTTTGGAACTTGACTATGCCTACATTTTGACTCAGTTTATCTGATTAGTAAAGAACTCTTAATTTTTGCCAGTTAATCATTCTTCCTCATTTTCAAAGGAACCAAGCACATCAAAGTCCCAGTTAGGAGCATTTCTGAAGGTTAAGCCCATTGCATAGAGTGTAATGAGAGGAGTTTTGGTATCCTGCTCTAGGGACACATGTTTAAAATTCATTGCATGTCCTCTGCAAATAATGAGCACTTTCTGCTGCCTTTGCCATTTTTTAGGGCTGCTGGTCCTGCAGAACTTCACTATCTCATTATCAGTTCTATTGGGGAACTGATGTTTATAACAGAGCTGGGAACTCAGTCACTTCTCTGCCAGGAGGGCATATTTTAGCCATCTAGAGTGGATAGAGACTTCTAGAGAGTGATATTCACTCTTGCTCTTTTGCTTGTCAATGAATTTTTTTATGTTGACCATGCAAAAAGCATCAGCTTCTACAAGATCATTTGTTATTCATCTAAATATTCTACTCACAAGTATTGTTAACGTAAAAGTTTAACCTACCAAGTTTCTAACCTTATCCCTGACTGACGAGAGGTATAGAGGGAATAAGAAACACGGGAGCATCCTGCGCATGGTCATTCTGTAATAAGAGTCTCACTCTTCCCTGATGAGCTATGTCTTGGATCCTCCTGCTGTAGCTGGCATGAGTGTCCCGTTGGCTGCCAGCTGCTTCCCTGACAGCTCTCAACCTGCTGATGGCAGCTGACGGTTTACATTTAGTCCTGGTTCCTTTAAACATGCATGTGTGTATGAATGCACTGCATGCACACATAGAGACTTTAAGCGGTAGGTGTACTTGCACTGCCTGGATACATCTAGGGGGGAAAAAGAACAGACTTACCCAGTAGTGTGCTTGTAAATTCTTCTCAACTGTGCCAAAGCAAACATGAAGGAGATCAGAAATGGCATGAACAAATGTGAAGACTACTGTGATCAGTGTAGGACTATCGTACAAGAAAGGAACATTTTTCTTCATGAGCAAGTAACTGTTGTGTGAAACAATTGATCATTCTGTTACAGAGAAATGTGATAAAATTAAATAATAAAGATTTGAACAGTTAACAGACTGACTGAATTATTTATGGTACAGCTCCTCACCTGGTCAGAATAAAGTTACTACTAGAGAGAAATATGGTTTGGGGGAAAAAAACTGGAGGGTAAAATATGCTTTACAAAATCAGTGTTAAGCTGTGAAAACCAGAAATGCATCTAATTCAGCAGTGTAAAGGCAGAACAAAGGGTAAACACACCACAGAGACCAGATTTATTTACAGTAAATGTGAAGTCAGTCACAACAATGCGGAAGTGCTCAACATGCAGACAGCAGTGATATGCAGTAAAACCAAGACTTTTAGGAAAGTATCTTCCTCCATATGCATTTTGCAAAGAAATGCACGTGAAAAATACAGAAACGTTTGTAAAACTGAAGGACAAATCTGCAATGATGAATAGGCAGGTTTTTTTGCTGTGTGTTATATAATGCTGGGTAAGAATAAACAACTGTTGACAATTCAAAAGTTACACTTGAGCTGTATGAGCCTTGTTACCGCTCTGGCATGCTTTATGATTAATGGAAGTTCAGTGGGCTTATGATATGATTTCATTTCATTTTCTTGTCTGAAAGAGGTTAATGAGCGTTTCTTGCAGATACTTAGAGTAACATCCTTGCAAGTGTAAGAGCATCATGGGACCAAGCCCAGAGTTGGTTTTTTGTTTAATGGAAGGCAAGTCAGGCTGACATGGGTTGAGCAGAGATGGGCATAACCTCCTATTCAGATTAAGGAAGTGTTAACAAGTAGAAAAGTAGGTAGGCCAGAAAAAACCTTGGAAGTGGAGACAAATAACTTACATTAATGTGTTAGAGAGAAGAGGCCAATGTTCAGTGCAAAACACAATGACCCAGTCAGGCAAAAGTGAGAGCCATCTTCTCTAGGTACATACAGCATGTGAATCCTATACTGAGGCTCACAGCAGTTGTGGCAAATTCCTTCTGATTTCTGGAAAACAGAGGTGATGTGGGCTAGGAGAAGGCTAATATGCTTTTGGGAAATACCCTGTATTTGCTGTACATCACTTACCTTAAAGTCCCATGCATGGAGTTTGAAATGGCAAAAGAGGGCGTTCCATTTATGCTTGGACAGATACAGATTATCAGATGCATTAATAAATAATATAACTTAGATAAAATTATTTTGACAGCAGATGAATCATGTGCTATAATCATGTAGTAAATCACAGTGATACCAGACTTCATTTGATTCCCTTACAGTCACAAAACATGCTACCATAGAGCTCTGTTAGCATTAAGAAGTGATATGCCAGCCAGTGATATACCAGCCAGTGATAGTGATGGCTATTTTGAACAAATCCAGACATGAGACTGAATTAACAGCCTAGGAGGGAACACATTCACAGTATGGCTAGAGTAAAAACAATTGCTGAAGATCTTCAAAGTATGTTTTTCCATGAGAACAGGGGAGGAGATCACACACAGACTTTTAAGTGAAAGGCTATTTTTGCCATTTGAAATTTTAAGTCGGGTGCTTTGACAGGTTCAGGTTATGAGGGAAAATACAAGACTCTGCACCTGCCACTTTGAGGCACGCTAAAGCGTTATATCCCTATCTGCAGGGATTGGGATGAGACAGAGATAATTGTGGAAGATCTGCTAATGCTGAGTAAAACGGAACACCAGCAACGTTTTATGTTCTTCAGATTTCCCCAAGGAAAACTGAAAACAGAAATGATAGGTTGGACCAACTAGTTCATATACACAGAGATAAGGGAAATTTATTGGACCGAGACCTTTTATAACTGGTAAAGTTCCTGCTTCCCTCCAAACCCTAGAAAATCAGAGATATATTAATTTATCTGATTGAGCTGACTCCTGATATTCCAGACACAATAGTTCTCTTTAGAGTGGTCAGTATGGAAATGGTGAAGTTGCTTATGGCCGATGAACAAGAGAACAAATTAAAAGTTAAAGAAAAATATGTTTGATAAAAGCTACAGAGACCTTGTACTTTAAATATTTAAGAGAACTAAGATCAGATATAGACCAAGGGATGGGCCAAAAGACTATATAACCTCTTTTTTTTCCAGGTGTTCCTTTCCCTCTATTACTTTGCTGGCAAGGATATGTTCTCTTTGGTAAGATCCATAGCAGACACGTACCTGCTCCTTGTACCCATGGGCAGCTACGTCACAGCACTGTCTGGTCTCTCTCCATTCAAGATCATGGGTTTGAGGAGTATGTTTTTCCAAAGTTAAGCATCAAAGGACACATGCTGTCAGGGCACTGACTAAAATCTAAATGAACTTAATTTGTTTCAGAAATGGAAGTCTGCCAATGTGCATGTTTGGAAATGGATTCATGGGTAGAAATTTTCTGAGGCAAGTTTCAAACAACAAATTGTTGGAAGCCATAGTACAGAAAACATTGCTTAAAATATTCCATAGCATCCAGAAAAAAGATGGAGGTGTTTCTGAAGTACTTGCCTAATATGAAAGACTGGCTGTCAAGGAGCCTCTTATGATGGAAACGTTTCTGAGAATATTTATAAAAAAATGCAGAGAGCTTTTGAGGTAAATATAATTTACACACTTCCCAAATAGACATACCATTTTAAAATGAGAAATACAAAATTGTCCAAAACTACATATCTTGAAAGAGTAGTTTTAAATAGAAAACCATGAGGAAACATGATACTTTTGGTTATGAAATTTTATCAAGACTATGAAGATGGTGTTAAGGACAGAGGTCAGTAAAGAAAGATCATCAGAAGTGAAATGGTAACTCCATTGAAGTCGCTGGAAGATTTTCCACTGACCAGAAGAGGGAGTGTGAGAAAGAGGATCTTCACATTCCTGAGTTTACCCAGCATGAGAACAGGAATGGCAAAAGCATAATGTTGCACATCCAGATGAATATTCAGAAAGATGTCTTGTTCTGTGCAGATGTGGAGTATTGAAGATGAGCTTCAATTACCAGTTCAGAAAAAGAGCTGTCAAACAACTGCTTGTATTTTGAGATGATTTTTCTCTTCCTTCATATCAGAGAGCAGTGAGGACATTGTTTACAGTATTGGCAATTAGTGTTGTGCCAGCAGAGTGAATATATCTCCTTCTGCTTCTAAAAACTTACGCAGTCTTTGAATTTGTCACCAGATCTACATCTTTAAATAATACTTACATATGTGAAGTGCAACTCTGATCTGATGACACATCCATCCTTTAGTACCCATTTTCTTTCCCATCCAGGTTTACTTGGCAGGGATGTGAAAAAAGCTCCTAGTCTGCAGAACTGTCTTCCAGTGTTTTGTATTCTTAAACCAAGCTTCCTATAAAAAGATAATTTAGGAGACATATCCAGTCCCAGACACACAAAGGGTCTGGGAAGCTCCATTTGACTACTTCTGCAGACAATTTCAGCCTTCATATAAGAGCAAATCTCTTGCTATTGCTTAACTGAGTGACTGCCACAAGTGTGGAAATGAAGCGATACGCTTTTTTATGTCAATTTATGTGGCATATTGATTGCTTTTTAACAATTAGGTCATTAGATGTAATTTTTTTTTGTTGTTAATGAACTATTTTTTTATCAAATTCCTGGTAATGAAAATATTTTGTGTTTCTGTTTAAGTATTTGTTGTATTATGAAGTACAATATATGAGGTTGATTTATGAGTAAAATAGCAAAAATAGAGACTACCATTTCTACAGCTGCTCAGTAGAATTAGCTCCTTTGCTCTTGAGACTTCAGGTGTTTTGTGTGATTATTTTAGGGCTATAAAACATACATTTTGTGTAAAGATTTTGGGAATTACTTAGAATTTGAAATAGTTTAATAGAAATACAGAAAAAAAAGCTTAGAGAAAGTTGAAGTACAAGAGGGTGTTGAAAGGAGACACCAAGTTATTTGAAGGCTTGAAAAATGTCTTGCAGTGAAAAACTTAATATAGAATAGTCTAGAAATGCTTTGATGGAATGTTTTTCAGCTGATACTATCTATTCATCAAATTGAAACTCTACTGGAAGGGATCAATTTTCATATTTCTGGTTTTGAAATGTTTCCAGCTTTTTATAATTGTTAAATCAACCTGTTTCAACATTTTCTAAATGAAAAAAAATACAATTTCAGTTCTAAAAACCTTTCTCTCAAAATATAACCTAATTATGCCAACCATCTCTAAACTGAGCTGGAAATATTGCATATGACCCCAAATTTAATTGAATTGTTTTGTTTTATTTCTGATAGATCATCAACAGTTCTGAGAGTTCTACTTTTTGTCAGGCTTTGAGAATGGAAAAATATTTTGTCCACCTTGATTGAAAATTCATCTGGTTCAATTTATCAAAAAAATGAGGTGTAGCTCTGTAATAATATATTAAATGCACTTATAACCATGTGTATTGGGTTTATGTGGCAAGATTTTGGTAGCGGGGAAGCTTCTGTGAGAAGCTGCTGGAAGGTTCCCCTATGTCCAACATAGCCAATGCCAGCCGGCTCCAAGATGGACCCACCGGTGGCCAAACCTGAGCCCATCAGTGACAGTGGTAGCACCTCTGGGATAACATATTTAAGAAAGGAAAATAACCTGCACAACAGCAGCCAAAGAGAGGAGTGAGAACATGTGAGAGGAACAACTCTGCAGACACCAAGGTCGGTGAAGAAGGAGGGGGAGGAGATGCTCCAGGCACTGAAGCAGAGATTCCCCTGCAGCCCATGGTGCAGCCCATGGTAAGGCAGCTGTGCCCTGCACCCATGGAGGGTAACGGTGGAGCAGATCTCCACCTGCAGCCCATGGAGACCCCACACCAGAGCAGGTGGGTGCCTGAAGGAGGCTGTGACGCTGTGAAAAGCCCATGCTGGAGCAGGCTCCTGGCAGGACTTGTGACCCTGCAGGGGACCCACACTGGAGCAGTTCATGAAGAGCTGCAGCCCATGGGATGGATCCATACTGGGGAAGTTCATGGAGAACTGTCTCCTGTGGGAGGGTCCCCACACTGGAGCAGGTGAAGAGTGTGAGGAGTCCTTCCCCGGAGGAACAAGAGACAACAGAAACAACAAGTGATGAACTGACTGCAACCTCCCACAGTCCCCCTGTAGTCCTGGCAGGGAAGAGGTAGAGAATTTGAAAGTAAAGTTGAGCATGGGAAGAAGGAAGGGGGTTGGTTTTATTTCTCATTATCCTGCTTTGATTTGATTGGTAATAAATGAAATTTGGTTTTCCCCAAGTAAGTTTGTTTTGCCCATGACAGTAATTGGTGAATGATCTCTCCCTGTCCTTATCTTGACCCATGAACCTTTCATTATATTTTCTCTCCCCTATTCTGTTGAGGAGGAGGAGTGATAGAGCAGCTTTAGTGAGCACCTGGCATCCAGCCAGGGTCAACGCCCCACAGACCATTCTCTGTCACTGAGGCCAACTCACATGTAAGAGCCTCTTACCATACTATTAAAGTCTGTCATCTGCCAAAACAAAAGAGCCACATCCAAATCACCTATTAAGAATGATCATCAGCCTGCCCTAATTCCTGATCCATGGCCAGCAATTGGCTGGGAGGGTATGAACTGTCCCAGTTTAAAACCATTTCAGGGACTGGTATAGGCAATTGAGTTTCAAGTCCTGGTTTTGTTTCCTGGCACAGTTTATTTTATTTGCATTTTGTATAGGCTTGTCTTATGAATCATATCATATCTTTCAATCTCTCATACAAAGGCATGAAATAAGCAATGACTGTAAATTAGAACTACAAAAATACAAATAAGAAATACAAATTTACAACAAAGTGATTAATCATTGAAACAAGCTGTAAACTCAGCATCTCTTAATGTCTTCTCTTGTTGTCAAGATAGGACAGTCTGCTGTAGAACATGCACAAGCCAAGTAAAAATTACTGGGCTGAGGAAGGATATTAGTGTAAACAGTAGATTAAACCATATAGCCTAATCATCCCTACTAGGGATAAATTATCTAGAAAAAATAATATGCAAAAGCATAATTTGCTTCTTGTTTTACATTATTATTAGATATAATTATGCATCCGTTCGTTTTATGGAAGCATCTTAAATCAGAATTTGCCATATGAATTTCTTAAGCTGACATGCATATTCCAAGGGCTACATTTAGACATTTAACTACAGGCAGAAAAGGAGGATATCTTTCCCAGAACCAGCAGGAAATGGTCAAGGAGGCATACTTCTGTTCAAGACAGGGCAGCAGCTTGTGCCAAACTCTTCAAATCAAGAAGTCAGTTCCTTCATGACGTGGGACAGAATGTATGTGAAGTAAGGTTGAGCAGAACTGAAACTTTGAAATCTCCAGACTACAAACATTTTCTATTTGCTTTTGCTATTCTCACACATTTTCATGTCAGATGGGCCTTAAGTTCGGGGTTTGTTACTGAAAGATGTATCTGGATATTATATATTAATAAAGAAAACATTCCCAGATTTTCTACTGGAATCTTCATCTCTCAAAGGGACCTGTGAGGTACATACTGTTCCCATGGAGCTATTACATACCTAGAGGACTACTTTTCTTCCTGTGATCCTGTAGAAATAATGTGTTTGAATTCTTGGTGCACTTTTCTACTGGTTCAGTTTAGTAGCCTGTGGGCTGTAGCTACAGATAGAAAATATTAGCTGTTAAACTGTCAAAACTTGTTGTAACAAGCAGAAGCAGCCATTACTTCTGGGACATTTAAGCAGGGTTTACCAAGTACTTTTAATGCATACAAAAGGCTCTTTTCAAAAGGAAACGGATAATTTTAGTTGTATTTTATAATGTTACATGATACTGAAAAAATCAAAACGAAACATGTCACTTAGACTAAAACTCCTAATTAGGGCTCAACTGGCATTTCTGGTGATCCACCATCTCCTAAAATACAAGTCTATTCACAGAATTTTGTTGGTATGAAGTCTGCTCTCCTATCTTTGGCCATGCTATTGGATATGCTAACTAACTGTGGCAGAAAAAGTCAAGCATAGGGCAGCAAGGGTAGCTAAGTGTACAGTATGATCTCTTTACAACTTGGGGCATTGTCGTGTACTCTAAAGCCAGCTGCATTTTCAGAGCAGAATTTTAGATATTGATGTATATGTGCTTTCTTGGTCTAACACAGTCTTGGTCCAGAGATTGATTTAACTCTAGAAATTTCTTTCTGACAGAATAAATCCTGTCCCTATTTATGCCACTTAAATGTTAGGTTTTAACATGTTTCTAAAGCAGTTAGCACACAGAGTCAAAAGTTTGGCAAGTCCTGAAGAAATTTGTGTGTCAGCCAGGCGGTTCAGAACTGGCCTATCTTCATGTGCACTTATAGAAAATGTTGACTGTGGTTTAACTTTTTCAGCAAGATGTGTACCTGAGCAGACACCCTTTTGACTACAATGGCTAGGAATATACAGGACCGTCTGGGTAGTCCCTTCCTGAGAAATCTGACTGAGTGCATGGCTAGTGGTACAGATGTTCCGGCCCCTGTCCCGAACAACAATTAATGGAGTATTTGGAAACAAATATTGGAGTATAATAACATTTTAAAGGTAGATATCCAAAAGGAAAAAAGCATTAAATAGGACTTTAAAGCTCTATGCAAGATAATGATCAAAATGCTTCTATCTCCTTACCTGTGACTTTTTTTTTTTCTCTCTGTGTTTGTCTGTCATGATGATCTTTGTTTCTAATTCTTTGCAGACATCTCAGTCAGTCTGTTAGCAGTAGTCGTCAGCTTCTGCGGGCTTGCCTTGCTGGTAGTCTCTCTTTTTGTCTTTTGGAAGTTGTGTTGGCCCTGCTGGAGAAGTAAACCTCTCACTTCCAATGCCAGTAATGTCCCTCAGAGCAACTCCAGTGCTCCTACAGAGGTTTTTGAGACCAGTGAAAAAAAGGAAGTTAAAGAAAATGGGAAACCTACAACAAAGGTACTTGAAGCTGCATTGAAAATTAGCCACACTTCACCTGATATACCAGCAGAGGTCCAGAACGCACTGAAAGAGCATCTGATCAGACATGCACGCATGCAGAGGCAGATCACTGAGCCCACATCATCATCAAGGTAAGTAGGGGGCACTCATGTTCATGGCACGTTTCCTGGGAACAGGTAGAGCCAGAATGCTCTGCTGAAAATTTCCAGGATCCTGGATTATTCACTGACTTCTTAACAGTTATCGGTGAATCAGCAGTCACATGAAGGCAAAGCGTCAGTGTCCTCTGAACAGAATATTCTGATACATACAGTGTACCTTCAGTTATATCATTATTTTAACATATGAAGATCAAATCTGTCTTCTGTTTCTTTGGAAACATATGTTGCTACTCTAAGCATTTCCATTTTAGATGTTGTATATTGGAAAATCTCTCAGTGTTACTTTTTAAAGTACTGCAAGTCTGGCTTTTCACAGAGATATTTTTATAGATACAGCAATTGCTTTTGCAGATGAAAGTTTCCCTCTCCACTAGATAAATAACAGTCTCATTGTTGACAGCACATTTCTTTAAGTCATGGTTTGCCACTTACAGAGGAATTAAAATCCCAGTCTGAGAATGTAGATTCATATAGACTGATCTTAAAACAGTACAGATTCTGTATATATCTTTAAATAAAGGACAGGTACTGCTTTATATTGAAAAGTAGTGAAGACATGTGCAGTGACCTATAGTTTAAAAAAGAATTTTCTTCAAATACTATCAGCAAATTTAATGCATAAAAACCAATGAACTGCAAAGATCTCTTTCTACATAAAAGGGAATGTTTTGTAAACAAAGAATGGGAAAATGAAAGCTAAAGGAGTCAACTGAAGTACTGCATAATGCCATGTTAGAATACAATTACTGTGTATGGAGTAGCTTTCCCTCAGTAAACCATTTGCTAAATGAACACATGCTACCAAAGGGAAAAAAAAAAAAAAAAAAAAAAAAGCGGCTCACATTCCCAATGTTTGTTGGAGGCACAAGATTGGAGAAGACGCATGCTTTACATTTAGTGGGCACATACTTTCTGGTCTTCTGTGAGTCCCTAAGACAATCTTCTGCCAGCTGAGTGCGCTCATTGAGGTGGTGAGTGCTGAAGTGCTTTTTCCCAGCTATTCCAACAGCATGGAACAGCCAACAGGCAACTGCAGGAGGCTCCCAAAAATGAGAGCACTCCAGCCAGGGGATGTCTATCTGACTTCAGCAGCCGAACCATCTCCTGAATTATGAGACTGTACATCTGGCTTTAAGCCACATTGCCCTGGCTGTGCCCAACTCAACTACTGTATCTATCTGCAGAGAGGGAGCACAGCATCCAAGCCACTCTGATGAGTATTTCCAAAGTACTAAAAAGACAACTTTGAAATTGTAACTGTTACACTAAACACAGAGGGGCCAAAATTGATACAGTTTAGCATGGCAAGGATATTACACTCACTACTGCCTAACAGGATATTAATAGGAAGAGTTTTATCCATCATGTACCAACAGGTAAATGTGTAAGTAATCAGACTGTCTGCCTTCCTGAACAGACAGAAGAAATAGCTGGCTGGCAAATGGACTTGAATAGTCCCTGTGGTACTATAGGGAAAGAAAGAAGTTCCAGGGACATGATCCAGAGCTACTTCAGGCTGTGAAAATATTCCAGCAGACCCCTAGAGTGATTTGGACTGGGATCTAAATGCATATAAAATATCTGTGAAGCGAAGGACAGTTTTACAAAATTAAAAGCTGCCATCAATCCTACTCTTTCTGCATATGTTGGTAACTGTAAGGGAACTTTTTAATTTTTATCCTCTCTAGATTATCAAGGTTAAATCTCCTGAGAGGGACAGTTCCTTTGCTTTGAGTAACCCTGATTGTCCCACCTTAGCCAATTAATAGCAGGGTGTTTGGAGATACCACCTTCCTTTACAGTTTGCTGAAAAACTCCACCCTTGCTACAGAACATGTTGAGAATGAGATGTGTCTTTAAAATTACCCATAAATGGTCCTTTCTGTGATTGTAAATGCATTTTTTTTCTATACCTCTGCCTGCCTTAAGGTAGTCTTAACCTTCTGGCAGACCATATAAATTATTGCTGCCAAGAATATTATGTATGAGATTAAGGCTGGACATCTATACCCGTTTTCCAGATTACCCATCCATTGTGTGACAGGATGTTGGATCACAAAACAACTAAAACCTGACTCTGGGGTCCTTCATTGGGGACCTCTAAACAAAAGGGAACCATTAGCAGACACACAGGTAGCATAACTGTCTCTTGCACTATCTTCAACCAGCACCACCTTGTTGTACTCAGGACTCCTGAGTCACCTGAATGCACCATCTCCTAAATGTATTCTATTGACAGAGGTTTGAAGAGAAATGTTTGCCATCTGTATTGTCTCCTCTACACTGATCTCACCTGAGCTGGGGCAAATAAAAAGGTTGTAACCAATTCTGTGATAGGTTCATGCAGCCATCAGTTCTTAATAAAAGAAATGAAATCATATTAAGTCATTGTAAATGAAGCTTAAGGATTTTAAGAGCCATTCAGAGCACTAATGTGCCTGATCACTTTTTATAGACTATACATTTAACATGGAGACATGTTAGTGTAGGGAAATGATGCATTTCTGCTTAATTAGAACTATAGTTTTATAGTTCCCGATAATACCTGCTTGTCAAAAAAAAAAAAAAAAAAAAAAAAAAAAGCAAAAAAAAGCAGCTCTTTAGTCTTTGATCCCAATTAACCAGTAAACTACAAGAAACTAAGTCCTGCATTGGTGGTGTTCATTTACAAACATTTTTGCTCTGTGTTATTGAGAACCACTATTCCCAGTACTTTGTGAAAGTATTCTGTAATATAGTTTATTGCTTCTATGATATTCCTTTCTTCAGATGTTCACCTGTATTTTCAAAGGACATGCTTTTTGCTCTTTAGCATTAGGTGGGAGAGGAGCTTATCATTCATCTCTGCAAAGAGTAAGTTGGTTCCCAGGAGGCACAAAGGCAAAAGTGAGGTGTGTAAGAATGTTAACATAAAACAAACAAACAAAAAAAGCAGGTCTGTTGACTGGTGATTGCAAGAGGGAGACAGCAGCCTCTGTTCTGTCTAATTGCCACAAGTGCTGGTGTCCATTCCTGGAGTATAATGTCATCAAGGAAAGCTAGACCAGAGACACCTCTAATAAATCTCAAGAAATATAATAGATCAGCATCCTATTCTTTTATTTTGTCATACATGTCAGTCTTACTGAGTTAGAAATAAGCTTCACACTATCATTATTCCTGTTCAAGCACAATTTTATATTACTGATTTACAATCACTCAAAATATATTTGTTCTAAGTTATGGAAGGTATGTGTATTATAGCAGTTCTACATGTAAGAGCCAGTAGAGGTTGAAGTACCTGGATTTGCACATGTTAGTAGCTTCACAGCATTTTCACAACCTGGTTGCCTTGACATCCTTGTACTTCATTATCAGAGTCATTAATTCCTTTGTTATTGCAGAACAAAGGAAGATAAATATGTTGCCATGACAACAATGAAGCATCTTAATAATTAACAGACCAATTAGCTATCTTGGTGAAATGCTGTGACTCAGAACAGATAGTAGGCCCTGTGTAATTAGCACTTTGGCTTCCTAGAGCAAAAGTGCTGCTGGTTCCCACAGGGAACAGTGATACAGCTGCACTGTTTTACTTAGTGACATCTTGCAACAAGGATTTCATCCACTAGAGGATCTTACGTACATAAAGTTTGAAAATATGAAAGAAGGTTGGTACCTTAGAAATCATAGATTTGGGGGTTTATACATTATTTTTACAAGTATTAACCTAGATCTTCATAAATGCAAGAGAAGTCAAGGAAAAGAGAATTTGCCATGTACCCATTTTTACTCAAACTGGAAATGCCACACAGTTAGCTTCACTGTTTCCCCTTCACAGGCAGCTTTTTCTACTGCTTGTCTGTGGCAGAGTTTGAACATAATTATCTGGGCATCCCAGGACTACAGCTGCAGGTGTGAGGAAGGCATACCTGCACAGGTTTCCTTAGCACAGGTAGAACTAGTATTAACACAGGTCTTTCTGGACTTCATGATGACTCAGAGATACTAGAGAGCTACTGCCTAAATTGCTGAGTGCCCAAACATTTATTGTCACTACATTTTGGGTGGAGTTCAGTTCCTTCCCTGTGGTTGGCACACTACAAGTCTGGACTTCTCAAAGGACAAAGGCACAAGGACAGCCCTGAAAGTCCTTGAGGACAGTATTGTACTTTTCTGACTAGTTAGGGTCTTTCTACTCCTCACTCCATTCCAATGTGGGCATCGTATACTGTGAATTCAGAGAGTTTTAAGAAAAAATAAAATCTTTTCAGCTTGTCTGTTTGTAAAAAAAAAATGTAGAATGTGTTATGAGAGGGGTGTATTTTTCATCTAAATTTGAGATCAAAACACCTGGACTTTTTGGAGCTACTTCAAATCTAGACTATGAAGTTCTCCCTCTCCTATTCTTGTGTTATGCTAGGACTGCTCCATGCACCTAGCAGTACTGAAACAGCCAAAACGGGAAACATTCTTATCTATTATTTAATGGCTGCAGATTACCCTCTTGTATCTCTGCTCAGCTGAACTGTGGTAGTTCTGTGCTTCATGCCTTCTGCAACCACTTCACTTACAGCAAATATACAAATAATATCTATGAAATGAGTCCTGGTTGCTTTCAAATGGACAATTTGCATTTCTGATTTAAAGAAAGAAACACACAGCTGTGAAACCTCTTGTTTTCAGAACACAACACCATAGGGAAACCAAGCAATAAGGCAAGGCTGCATTTGGCATTAATAAGCAATTGATCGCAAAAAGCAGAGGAAATTCTGACAATTAAATTGTTTTTTAATGGCAACTAAGTATGCTCACAGGAGGAGGCAGTGAGCTTTTCCAATACAGTTTGCTGGAGTAGTGAAGTATCAAGGAAATGTGAAAATGCCCCCAAAATAAACTGGACGGTGCGGTCATAATGGCACTGGCTGATGATTAATTCTATGAAGGTTTTTGACAGGTGTTTTTATACTACTGTAAGGCTGTATGAAATGCCAGGGATTTGATTTCATTTTTCATAGGAAAGGCACAAATTTCCATTGATGTTCATGAGTCAATATAAGCCTATAAATACATATGCTTATGCAACACTGTATTCAGAATTACAAGGATTTAAACATGTTGTTTCTTGGTAGGAGTACAAGAATCAGCTTTATAATACACTACACAACAGTGTGAGAACAGAAGGAAAGAAAACCCATCACAAAAAAATGTTTACCAAAACTTTGACATGTATTGCATCCAGAACAAAATGTTCCCAGTATGACTGGAGAAGGCAGTCTGTACCTCGGTGTAGCAAATACCAAGCAGATGTATGTAAAATGTTGTAGGATGACAAGGCACTATGCTGAAAACCTCCAGATATAGCTCTGCATGGCCTTTTCATCTGTCTTTCACAGTGATCAGTATGAAGTTTGGTAAATATTTAGTTGGAAAACCACCACAGAATGCCTTCAAAATCCAGGAAGTACTGATGACAGTTCTGCAAGTGATTTATTTTCTGCCTGACTATACTTTACTCAGGCCCTAGCACAGTGGGATCAAGCAGTGTTTTAACTGTCAACTTGTTCTTTGAAAGAACCTGAATTCAGTTTCAGCTGCATAGCCTGCAAACAAGGTTAGAAATATATGTATTACCAGGGCACTGGGTGTCTCTTAGGCCAAGAAGTTCATTCTGAATGTTCATTTCCTCTCAAGGGTGTTTTAACATTTGCAAAACATTTGGGGGGGGATTATTTTAAAAATATTTTAAAGGGATGAGCCCTTACTAATTTGGTCTTCTTTTATTTTCTACTTAGTAATAGCCAGATCTTTTCCTGGAGATAACCATGGCTTATTTTGTGTGTGTGTATGTGTATGTGTTCAGGCACAATTCTTTCAGGAGGCACTTGCCAAGGCAGATGCAAGTGTCCAGTGTTGATTTTAACATGGGGACAGATCCAGTTTTGCAAAGGGGAGAGACAACAACCAGCATTGGGAGAATAAAACCGGAACTCTACAAACAGAAGTCTGTGGATTCTGATGGGCAACAAGAAGATGTAAAAACATGCGGAAAACTTAACTTCACTCTCCGGTACGATTATGAGAATGAACTTCTGGCTGTGACAATTGTCAAAGCCTTAGATCTGCCTGCTAAAGACTTCACAGGAACATCTGACCCCTACGTTAAGATTTATCTGCTTCCAGATAGGAAAAAGAAGTTTCAGACACGAGTTCACAGAAAGACATTAAATCCTGTTTTTGATGAAACCTTTCAGTTTCCTGTAGCCTATGATCAGCTCAGCAACAGGAAATTGCATTTCAGTGTTTATGATTTTGACAGATTTTCTAGACATGACATGATTGGGGAAGTTATTCTTGATAACCTTTTTGAAGTCTCAGATCTCTCCAGGGAAGCCAATGTATGGAAAGACATCCACTGTGCCACCACAGTAAGTAATGTGTTCCAAAAGCATTAATGTGATATTTTCATTTCTCTTCTGTAATTTGTGGCAGAGCATCCAGTTTATCAGCGAGAGTTTTAAAAAAAAAGTTGTCAATATTTTCCTTTGACCATAGAGAGTAAGATGCTTAGGAAGCTATGCAATTTAATTACTAAAAATCTTCTAGGAACATACAGTCATTCTTATGGCTCATTAATTAGGTTTATTAATTAGATAGTACATCATGAAAATCACTATTTAACAAGAACAATTAACATTGTCCTGTTAGCAAAATACCCTGTCCTTCAAAATGACCATCTATTGAGGACAGGGCTCATTCTGCTCTTGTTAGCAGATTTTCATAGGTTGGGAATCTTGTGAAGGAAGAGAGACAGTCTAAAAATGCTTGAAATCTGAAATGTTCTTTCCTGGCTGCTTAGGGTCCCCAGGAGATATATCTGTGTTGCTTCTGGTTATTAACAAAACTCAAGAGACACAACACAAGCAAGTACAGTTAGGAAATAGAAATTATTTGCTTATCATTGCAAGCAAGAAAGGAAGGTCTATTCATGGATGACAAGATGGATGATAGGCTACCAGCAGAAAAAACACCAGTCTCCAAACACTGTCTTTATTAACTTTGAAATCCAAACTCACCTGTCTGGAATTTGAGGAGAAAAAAAAAATTAAATGGTGGTATGTGGTGTGGGGTTTTTTTTTATATATAGAAGTTTTCGCATTCCTAGTTCTGTGGAGATAGCCAAAACAGTCTGGGTCATCCCTGGGTTTGAGCATGGGCTGGACTTCCACAGCAGGGATGAACAGAGGGCAGAGCAGTAGTAGACACTGCTTCAGTGACAGAAGCTTCATACCATCCCTTCAATAGATCCAGAGACTTCCCATTTTCCCAAATTTCCCAAATGCTTTCATGCTGTTCATACCTGTTAACAGGGAGGTCTAGGTCTGCATGACTAGAAAGACAAAGAGGTCTGGTATTTCCTCAACAGTTTGAGCATGAGCACTGTATTTTCTAAGAAAGGAGAAATATTAGGGAGCAGAGCATAGTGGAGACAGTTTCTGAATGTGAATTCACAAGAACAGCTAATTCATTTTAGCTGCTGGGTCTACCAAACTGGTTGAACAGCCTTTGGCACACCTCCAGAAAACCGCATCTGTGTATGATTAGTTTGATCAAGCTCAGATTTCAGGTAAATTTAAGAACTGTGTTCTCAAGCTTAAAATTGAATCTGTGTTTAAGGTCTTGGAATAATAGACCAGTAATTTTTAAAATTTCTTCTAGCTTCGATATTATCTTTAATACTTTAGTACTGATTTAAATGCTCACTGGTCCTTTGCAACAGGCATGTGTGTGAGATTTTTAGCTGATAACTAGAATGGTTTCAGCAAATTAGAATCCTTGGACTGTTCATCACTGGTTTTAAGCAGATTGAAATGCCATACCAAATTATGCAGTTAGGAGAGGTACCGATATACATCTGGATAAAAATGGTTGCTAATCTTAGTGCTGAACTCTAATTCAAGTTTCTTCCTCACTAAGGGTTAGTACATGCAGTTATAGCGTTTAATTCACTCTGCTGGTCTTTTAATATCTATGAAGTTTAAGAGAAAGATTAAGCATTTAGAGTTGAGCCTTTCAGCCAGTATAGTTTACAGTATTCCATGCTTATGAATAAGTTGTCTCCACTTAAACCATTAACAATAAGCACATAAAATTGAGGTAACTTCTAGTATTAGGTGACCACATCAGCTTTCATAAGTCTTATACTGTTCTCAGAAAATTATATAAGAAATTGTTTTTTCCTGGCAAAATCCTATAAAATGTCTTGTGCAGTGTGCTGTCTTGTGTTTTACTTCAGCTTTTTCATGTCAATTAAAATTGGTTAGTAGTAAAGATTTCTAGTTCTGCCATTTCAGAAAATGTAAGATAAGGGAGCCAATCCTGCACAGGAATAAACAGTGCATAAGATGTTAATCAATGGGGAATTATAGTCTTAAGCACCAGATCTGAATTTACCAAAGTCACTAACTAGCAATTAAATAACTAATGCTTGCCAGAGTCAATTGGACTTGGATTAAGCCTTGAAAAAAAAGATCCAGCTGGTTCTGCAATTAGTGAAAAAATAACTGTACTCCAGGCAAGTGTGCTTTGGTGTTCAGAAAAATATCTTTTAAAAACAAACTGGCTGTCTCAGTGGGAAGGTCCTTACTTACACAGTAGAGCATAGGAATCAAGATGGCATTCTGTAAATATATTTCTATCATGCTTTTTCCTTCTTCATCTCTGCTCTGTTTTATTGTATGTTCTGTGAAGTTTTTTTTTTAGCCTTTTGTTTAGACGTGCTCCTTACTCCCACTGTTTTGCTCATGCTGTTGCTAAAGGATAGATGGTAGAAAATGGTAGAAGTGGTATATCAAGGGATAGGTCCAAAACTTTAAAAACACAGTAGTAATCTCTCCTCAGTTTTGAGTCTTTTACATCTCTTCCATAGTCAAGAATTTTCTACTCAGAAAGTAGGCTGAGGGTAAAAAACATACCGATTACCTGCTTGGAAAGAACCTGTTTTTATGACACAGGCTCTGCAGTTTCAAAGTTGAGCATCTACTAGACAGACTTACCAAGGAAATGAACTGCAACATTTTACCAGTGAAGGAAGTTACCACAGATCAGGAGATTCTCTGCTATTCAAAGGCTCTCTGTCAGTAGTTAACATAATTTTAAAAAGATTTGCTTGGACATCCATAAAGAGTTTCTGTTTGGTACAGGAAATACAGTGTGGGAAAAATCAGACTGGATTTTTGCAGTGTTTCCTTTTGCCATAAAATCAGTGACTCTCTGGGAATCTACACTTTGAATACTTTTTTTTTTTTAATATATTTTTTAATACTTTTATTTATTTGTCATAATTGTAATTTGAAACTATTTTATAGAAGTGCAGGATTGTCCCACCCCCACTCATTTTTATTCTTATGGTTTTCAACTGTTGATATTTATTCATCTTTTGTAGTTTGTATTTTGTTCCTTTTATTTTCCTTCATACTATTGTTTCTCTGTTACATGTTATGTTGAAAATCTACAGCTATTGTACAATATATAGCATGTACCTGTTGTAAGTGCTAAAGCATTTTCATTTCTTTATGTTAAATTATCAAGGTAAATTTGGTGTGAAATTGGTTGTGAAAAAGAAGTATCCTAGTTATCTGATGATATTAATATCTCCCATTTTTGCTTATACATGGGTGATTGAATTTTCAATAAATAATCCATCATTTGCTTCTGTTTGTTTGATTAATTTAAAAAAAGAAAAACTCAAGAGGCAGCTTTGGACCACCTATGAAGGCTGTTCAGTATTCTGGAATACTGTAATTTTTAATACACTTCAGGAAATTAATTCATAACATCAGAGACAAACGAATAATATCAAATTGATTGTTTAGTCAACATATCTAGCTTCTGTTTTTATGAAGTGCTTTTGATTTTTGCATACATTTCTGAGGATTTGTTACTATCAAAATAGACCACATACTTTAAAAAAAGAAAACTCATTTATTGGAATTGCTAACAAGCAATTAAGTGCAAAGAGTCAGTGTTGTAAAATCGTTTAGGCAAAAAGACCACCTCTTGTGAAAGTTTATTAACTTCCTATTATAATTTTTAAAGTGATTGATTGCTTTGGAAATCTCTGCCTCTAACACCATTGCCTAAAAAACTTGGCAAGTGACTGTCAGAAACATTTTTTTTCCGAAGGTATTCTGGGAACTCTGTTAATGTAACCAATTATAGAAAACTATGCAGTTTGGGGAAAAAAAAATAGGGCTCAGTTTAGATGAAAGCCATTTCCAGCACAGTGGTAGTCTCTTGGGGATGTTAGTCATGGAGCTGTCATATATTTGTAGCCTCTTAAATTATCTCATGTGGACAGATGGAACTTGATTATTATTACATTTTCTGACACCAGCCATTTCAGTGCTGCAGTTTTCTCATTTGTGAAGTGGGATATAAAAGAAGGTTATGTAAAGACACAGACTTCATGTGATGATCATGATGTGCGATTGCTGTTTCTAAAGCATTTGGAATATAAGTGAATAGCACTGTTGAAAAAAAAAAAAAAAAGTGCTTAAATACCTTTCTTAATAAGCGGGACTTTTTTTTAACAAGCGGAACATTTGTCTCAGTTCATTTATCTCAAACACTTGCCAGAGTAGGATGTCACACAGGTAATCCTTCTAGCTGTTGGCCTCTGTTATGGAAAGAGATTCTTCTGACTTTCTGATCGAACAAGAATGAAGCCCAACTCTGCAGTTCATCCAGAGCAATGGCAGTCATTACCTTTGCTTAGTTTTCTCCATAGTTCACTATTTCTTAAGTGGACAAAAACAGGCACGCTAGACCTTACTCTGAGTAAGGCAATAGCGATATAGAGCTGAAAAATATATGTCTTATGGTAGTCAAATTCTGAGGTCACATTACAAGGATTGTCCTGTTTCTTGGTGTTTTGAGCAGCACTTTTAGGGAATGTTTTATCACCACCGGTTTAGTGGACTATGCCCTACAGATAGCCATCCTCATCAGAATGGACTTAGGCTGTTAGTGTTTCTGGAAATGTACATAAAAGCTTTAACACAATGTTAAACAGGCATGAAAGAGTAAAGGCTTGTCAGTATAGAAACACTTAACATCTCTATAATGGGAACAGCTCATTAAGTCTCCATCTAAGTTGTTGAAGGCAATTAATACATTTAGCTTCCAATAATGGGAACAGCCCCTTCAAAGCCAAGAATAGCTGGCACTTGTCATTTCTACTCAGGGACAGTGATATAAAGGATTTATGTGATCACCTGCTGCTGTGTAGATGAGAGAATACTCTGGGTCAGTCTTTACATGAAGTGTATTGACGTTTTTCATTTAGGTTTGGGACTGCTTTTGGTCTGGGTAATAACTAGAAAAGACAACGGAGGAAGAGTGAATTTTTGTTTAGTTACTGAAAGCA